TATTAGCCAGACTCTTCCATCTCTCTCCATTAGTGATCTTCTAAATTTATCTCCCTCCATTTGACCTATTCAATGACATTTTTATGAAATATAGAATGACATATAAAATAGATATTATAGCATAATGGTTAAGAACCCACACTTCAGAATCAAACGGCTCCCACTTCAAATTCTAACTCTGCCATTTATTTAGTAGGAAATCTGTGGAGAGTTACTCACTGTGTATTACATTTTCTCCTCTGTAAAACAGGGATAATAGTACCTACGGTATGAGCTTGTTCTGAAGACTGGGAAAATTTATTTTGTATGCTGTAAAGAGGTACAGTAATTAAATGTAAAAAATTAATAAATTAATTTTTAAAAAGACTAAATAATGTAATGATTCTAATTGTATCGAAGACAATAGGCTAAATATTATGAAAGGTTATAGTTAAAGACATTGACCATCTGCCTCAAGTAATGTATTTCTCTGGAAAATTACTGAACTATTCTTATTTAGAAAACCTTTCCTAAAAAATGCATACTAAGATTGTTGTCCCTATCTTCTTACTCAAAGATCTCACCTCTTTTGTGTGACACTCCCTGCAGATGGCCAGTACCTTGAGTGGTTCCTGAATGTGTCACTCCGTTCTCCCCCCTACACACATACATGTACATACAGTACACCCATTCCCAGGTCATTTATAAGTTAATAAAGCTGAGTTGTAATACTTCGTTTTACCCTCAGTGGCTGCTACTTGGCATTGCCCTATAATGTAAGAAATTTCACCATTTGAACTGAGTGAATGCCCAAAGAATCAATTTTATAAATTAAAAATTGATTTATAGTGTGTATTTGGCAATAGGCCATGAGTATGCCTCTTGCTGCATTCTACCAGCGGGAAGCAAAGTTGAGAATACTTAACAACAGGGGTACATAGGACTCTGAGGAGGGTATTCCTCCCCTAGCAGCACAGAGCGTGGTGTCTCCCCTTTGGGTTGTGATCATCAGTTGCCTGCCAATTATAGCCTGGGGTTTGTAAACAACCAGAGGATTTCTTTAGAGGAAGTAATTATATTCCCTTTAACATGCAACCGATTGCATGTTAAACACTTTCTCTTAAACATGCCGTGTACTGACTACAAAGGAGGTTTACTTTACTAACGCTAAAGGAAAACACTCAGAACTAAGGCAAGGGACCTTGGTAGGACAGAGGTAGTAAGGCTATGAAAGGAGCAAGAACATGCAAAAATTCATGGACTATTATCAATCAAGGGCAGAACTCGTTCGGTCCATCCAGCTAAATATGTACAGGGAGATGTTAAAAGTATAGACCGGAAATCAGTTTAGTATTTTATCCCACTTGGTGTGCTCCATTGAGCTCAGTAGTTCTCCATGTTAAGACTCAGTTTCCTCTTCCACACAGTGGGATTAGTTCTTATTTTACGAGGTTATTCTGAAAATCAAATTATAAAACATATCTAAAGTATCTGGAACAATAGACACTCTCCAAAACAGTAACATGCATTGCCGAAGTTATCTGTGTCAAAGTTAACTCTCCCCTTGGAACTAACCATTCTGTGTCTAAAATGATGGCTTCCTATGGGGAGCATCAAAGTTCTCTGCCTGAGGATTCTCTCAGCCCAGGGTCATGGAGCCAAATGGGAGTGCCAGGGATAACACTTCAAGGAATACTTCTTGGCCAACCATATGGAGAACTGAGTGAATAAATACCTCTTCCTCACTCCTTGTGCAGGGCAACTCATGTTTGTTCCATCCACACTGTCTCTCAAGGGTCCTTTGTGGGTGTGAGCCCCTTAGTAATGCACTCATGTTGGTTTCTATCAAGCCTCTTTCTCACTTTTGTATTTCCTAACTGGAGCTTCCTGAGGTTACCTCCAAAATAAACCACTAGAACTCAAATTCTTGTTTTAGGATAGAATCCAGTCTAAACACTATTCCTCATAATGTAAATAGGGTTAATACTTGGACAATTGGATTTATAATTAGATGTTCATTCACTAATCAAACCCTATTTATTCAGCCTGCTTTCAATTCCTCCCTCCATCTCATCATGTTGCCTCAGTTAAGGTCCTTCTCATTTATTTTATTTTTTGCCTATTCTTTAGTCTCTAATTGGTCTCCATGCTTCCAGTAACTCTATCCCTTAATCCACCATCTGCTTACTACCAAAGCTATCATTCTTTTTTTTTTGAGAGGTTTTTGCTATAGGGTATGTGTGCTCACCAGAAAGATGAAAGACACAGAGAGACAGAAAGTGAGAAATCACCCCCCAGGGGGGATGGCCATGCTGCAATCCCTTCTCCATTCTCCTCTCGGGCTCTTGGGCCCAGCATGAGTTTAAGTCACTGGGTCCAGGACTCAAACCATGGTCTCAAACTACATGGGAGTCCAGTGATACAGTCATTATGCCAACTGCTGGTCCCCAAAGCTATCATTAAAGCAGTTTTGGTAATGCCATTCCCTTCTTTTTATTTTTTAAACATTCAGAGGTGTCCATTGTTCTGCAATTATGTATTAAATTTTATAACAGGATATGTAAGACACTTCAGAAGTTGGCTCCTACCAACTCTCCATTTCCAGTGATTTCTAAACACAGTCATTACTCTGCTCACCATTGTCTTCTCAAAAGCACTGTCACCTGTTACTTTTTTTCTTTTGCCATAGGGCATGTGCACTCACCAGAGAAAGACGGAGAGAGAGACAGTGAGAGGGAAGATGAGAAATCACCCCCCAGGGACAATAGCCACACCACAATTCCTTTTCTTCCACTGTCCTCTTGGGGTTATGGGCATGCACTTACAAACACCCAGCATGATTTTCAAGGCACCATGTTCAAGACTTGAACCAGGATCTGCCATATGGGAGACCCGTGCTCCAACCACTATTCTACCTGCTGGCCCCCTATTACTTTATTATTGTTTTTAAATTTGCTACAGGGCACACACAGTCAAAAGAGAGCACCCCTACCCGCATAGAGAATGGCCATACCACAATCTCTTCTCTTCCATTCTTGGGATTTGGGGCACACATGCATCAGCATTTGTCCTATTTTTCAAGCTGCCGGGTCTAGGATTCAAAACACAGTCAGCCACATCGAATTCAGTTGCCTTCACCACCACGCCACCTGGGTGGCCCACACCTATCACCTTTCAATGTATTTGAATGTGTGTGTGTGTGTGTGTGTGTATGTGTGTGTATGAAAGAGAGAGATCCTTTCTGCCTGAAGAACCTGGTTCATCCTTCAAGGTCTGGTTCAAATGTCTCTTCCTCTAAGAAGATTTCTCCAACTCTCCGAACGAGTTAACAGTTCCTTCCTCTGGGCTCCCCAAGTAGCATGTGCATTTACTGAGTCATTCATTCACTCAACAAGCATCCTCTGGGCATAACCTGCTATGTTCCAACCATGTGTTAAGCCCTGGGCAAACCATGCTGGATAAAAGCAGAAGTCGCTCCTGCCCACATAAAGTTCAGTCTGATGGAGAAGACAGACATCATCAGGTAATCATGTACAAATAACGAGTCACATGATTTATAAATGAGAGTTTACAGTGAAGGATACGAAACCAGCCTGGGGATTGGAGAGCCTTCCACAAAGGAGTAGGTATTGGAGGTAAGAACAAAGCAGAGGTTAATATCAGATGAACGAGATGGAACCCACATTCCAGGCCAAGGGGACAGCTGGTGCAGAGCCCCGTGGTCAAAGGAGACACCATGTTCTCTTTTGAGAGGCACAGGGACAATGTAGGCAGAAGCACTTACATCACTCATCGTGCACGTATTTGTCCCTCGTGTGCTCCCGGCCTCACAACAGAGACCGAGCGCCTCAAACACAACAGCTGTGCATCACTGAAATCTCATTGAGCCCAGCACTGAGCATGATGTAGAAAACAAAATGAATGCACCCAATGTGTGGAGGAGGGTGTGGAGGCTCAGCGAGGTTGACTGAGTCACCCAAGACTGGCAGTGGCATAGCAACTAGAATACACACCTACCCTGCAGCAGCTGTATCTCTGCTCAAACTGCCATCAGGCATGCCTCCCTGTCCTTTTTGTTTTAATCTGAGTTTCTCTAAGAGCTCCTTTTTCAAAGAGCCTGACAGTAAAAACGAAAAACAAATATATATATATACTATGCTTGCTGGGGAAAGGTTTTCTGGGGGGATCAGAACAGGATCCTTTCCTGGTAGAGGATTATTTTTTCCCTTGAAGCCTCTTTAATGACCTGAGAAGGTGCGTGGTAATAACAGGTGGGTAGTGGTTAAGGGTGCTGGATTCCCACATGACCAACCGCGGTTCAAGTCCCAGACCTGGAGGTTTGCTTTCTCACTTTTTTTTTTTTCTCTCTCTCTCTCTCTGTCCCTCTCTGGTCAAATTCAAATAAATAAATACATAAAGATTAAAAAAAAAAAAAAAAAAGAATGAGCCACCCCAAGGAAGCCGCTGGTGCTGCCCAAGAGGGGGCACCCTGGCTGACCCTGGAGGTCTGTGAAAAGGCCCAGGGTTGGACTCCTCCAGGGGCCAACAGCAGCTCTAGTTTCCTGCTTCCCGAACCTCTCCACTCTGGGCTCAGAACCGGCGGCTTGGGAAACAGCCCAATTTCCCGGCCATCCCGCCCGCCCCCGCAGAACGCTCCGAGGAGGAGGCAACCTTGTCGAGGAAAGGCATCCTTCAGGCCCAGACATTCATCTCTGTCCATTTCAAGGCGCCGAGCCTGCGCCGCCGTATATAACCAAGAACTGAGCCCACGGGAAGAACAAAACGGCCTCTCTAGGGGTGTTTTTGTTTCCCCACGAGTGTTAGACAAAACGAGGTATTAGTGCTGCAAGAAAGAGGTGATCTGAGACGGACTCAGCGACTGGAGTTGAGGCTTCCTTGGGGCAGGTGGCAAGGTGGGGAGCTGGGGGGTGGGGCGTGCGGGGACGCGGCTCTTGCGAGGATTACGGTGGAGGCTGTGGACCACGAGGGCCGCCAGCCATGGCACAGCCCAGCATCCCACATTCAACAGGAGGAACCCGCGGGAGAGCAGCCCCTAGCCCCCAGCGCCGCAGCCACAGCCCCAGAGCCCCGCGCTCCCGCGCGCCATGGCTAAAGAAGGAGTGGAGAAAGCGGAGGAGACGGAGCAAATGATCGAGAAGGAGGCAGGCAAGGAGCCGGCGGAGGGCGGTGGCGATGGCTCGCACCGCCTCGGGGATGCCCAGGAGATGCGCGCGGTGGTGCTGGCCGGCTTCGGGGGTCTCAACAAGCTGCGGCTCACCAGGAGGGCCATGCCCGAGCCACAGGACGGCGAGCTCAAGATCCGCGTCAAAGCCTGGTCCAGTATCCACGCCTTTCTTGCTCTCTCTTTGCGCGCTGGGTGCTCCGGGAGTGGGTGGGGAGTGGGAGAAGCTACAGGGGAACATTGTCCCGGGCCCCCTCCACGCCCTCACCTGGGTCTCAGGGCCTCCCAGTGCTGGTTGATGCAGGGGAGGATGCTGAGAGGTGGCCTTCCCCCTCCTCAAGGCAGACCTGGAGGGATGGTGGCGCGGGCAGTTGGGTCTGGAAGACTGCACCGCAGGAGTTCTCCGTGGGGTAGGACCATTCAACTGCCAGCGCCGGAGGGCTCTATGGTTAAATGGCTATAAAATAATAGTAACAGCCGTAGGCTTACTGTGCAGCCACCGATTTTAGAGTTCTACACTGCGCTCTTACTTAATACTTCCTGAGACCCAGTGAGTTAGGTACCGTCCTTATTCCCGCACCGGTGATAAAACCGCGGTAGGAGAGAATAAGTGATTTGCCCAGGATTGCTCAGCTGCCATTGAGTGACCTGGCGGGTATCCGATGTGCAATCTTTTTAACCTCTCTGCTGTTGTCGTGATGGGCTGGGGACCCTGAACAAGGCTAGGTTCCCTCCCCTGCGCTTTCCTCCCTGAGGCTTGCGGAAGGGGACTGGGAAGTCAGAGGCTTAGTGACCCTGGCTCTGAGCTTGGGGAGGAGTGAGACCTGGCTGCATCCTAACCCCACTAGCATCCTCTGTGTTTCTCTGGCATCGAGGGGTGGGCTAGGCTGATTAGTCGCGGGAATCCTGTTCCCATCTTAGAAAAACCTCGCTCTCCAAGTTGCCCTCCGTCCCCTGGGGGAACTTCTCCAAATCCACACCCATCTGGGATTCCCCAGGAATGTGTAAGCCTGTCTGTGTGGGGGCACTGTATGACCATTTCCCTAAAGTTTTGGGGCGGGCATACCCGGGTGATCGCTGGGCACTGCACTCAGCAGCGCAGGAAGCCTGTGTTTGGACCGAGGCTGCCAGCTGTTAGCACGGAGAGATGAGCAATCCCTTCCCACCTCCGTTTTGAAAGCCCCAGACACACACTGCTCCCTATAGCAGCAGTCCGCTCATGGGTTCCCCAGAGAGATCCAGAATCTGGGACCCAATCTCAAGGCAGGAAAAAATGTAAAGGAGACCCCTTCCACTCCCCCACCCACATCACCCACACCTTGAAACCAGACACAGGTTTCATTTATCAGATCAGCAGGCAGTGGGTGGGAGAAGTGGGCACCCACCTCTGGCTCCATCCTCGTATATGGAAATCATGTGTGACTCTAAGCCCCACTTTGGGCTTCTCAGGACACTGAGGGTAAGGGAAGAGGCTTTTGCAAATTTGGGGATTTTATGCAGTTCTTTCTGTTAACCCTTGCTGAACCCATTCGATTGACCCCAGGAGGCGGAGCTTATATTGGTTCCTACCAGTAAATCCCTAATGCCTAGCACAGTACTCAGCACGCTGTGTACCCTAAGTCAGTGATGGCTGAATAAACAGATTGAGGAAAGAGCTTGGACATAGTTGAGTCTTCTTTTTTTTTTTTTTTTTTTCCTTTAAAGGCGCTGGGT